GCCATCTGGATTGAGGCTACGTGGTGAGCGAGAGTGGTGAGAAAATGGTCGGCAAACGCAGCCCTGTTTCATGTGTGTATCATAACAACGTCCTTTATATCCGCAGTCATAGGTCATCTGGTTTCCCCCTATTGAATGACAAATACAAGATATTTCCTTCCACACAGGTGCAGAATGAACATGCTAGTTGGCTGTAGCCTTTGTGGTGTTCAAACGCAACTTTTTGGTCACGACACAGGCGGAAAAAGCAGTTGGCCTTCATCGACGCTAGTTCTTTGATGTAGGTTTGGTGTGTCTTGGCATTTAAAGAATCTGTTCAGTCTGCCTTTTCCGAGCTTCAGTTCCAGTTTGTCCCCATCAGGCCTCTGCCCGAGTACTCCTTACTCTCCGAGGGACCCAGTCATCCACCATCCAGTCCTTCTGAGCCAGGTCATCCTGTGTCTGCCTCTCTCTTCCCCTTTCTTCAGCCACTTTCTTTTCCTTCTCCAACTTGTGTCTTTTCTGGAAAATTTCCATTCCGTGTTTTTACGTCACTAGTTGCCCTCCAGTGGGTTTACCTCCTCTAGAGATCACCTGACCCCGTCACCCGCTTAACCAGCTGCTCCTCATTCAGTCCGTCACAGTGTGGATACTGAGACCAGTTTTCAGCCACTCTTTGGCAGATCGCGTGTGTTTCCAAGCTACGGTAGCGTTCCAGCCATTGCTGTCACCTGCACCTGATTACTCACCTTCCTGCCTCGTTTGGCTGGTTTTACTGCCAATGTGGGTAACAATGAAAAGATCAGGAATGCCTTTCAGCAAAGACCACCACCAACACTTTATACTGTACGACGATGATTACTGATACTTAGTAAGGACTAGTAGTTTTCCACTTTTGTTCCAAAAGGTGATTATCTCAGGAAACTTTTTTTTCCACCTCTGCACACAAACACTTTTGAAATAATAAAAAAATAATGAAAACAGCCTCGGTTCAGACAAAAACAGAGTCCGCAGAAAGCGACAGCATAACATTGTTGCACCTACCTTCTGCAGCACAATTGTCAAGGCGGATTAATCCTCCCACACACTGCCGGCACCTTTCCTCCTTCTGTAGCCAAGTGGTGCCTATTGAGACACTTTCACTGCGAGGCAGATGTGTTTGTTCATTCCTGAAAGCCTTGTCGCCACACAGAGGGAGGCAGGCGGCGTACAGCAATGCAGCGGCATGCCCGCTCCTAGTTAGAGTCTAAAAGATGAAAACGCATGTGCTTGTTTTGCTGGTTTTGTTTATGTGTATGTGTTTTCTCAAAGAAAAAATGTGCTTCATTTTTTATTTTTTTTTCTGTTTGTCTTGCTTGCACGAGTGTTCGGATTCAACAAACTATCTTCGACTGCGCGATAGTAAATCGATGGTTTATCATTTGTGGGCAATTTTCATTTGCATAAATGTTACCTATGATTAAAAACAGGAATTTCACACTGTGAGGAATCCACTCCTGCTGTCGGAAATCAGAGGACAAAATCATAACACACTTAGCATTGTAAGCAGTTGTAATAGAGGACCAGAAAGCAGTATAAAAACAACTATGTGTCATTAGTGCAGCGCTGTATTGTGACAGAAATAAAAAAGGGTTGACAGAAACTTAAAGTGCAGTAAAATGCTTTTCAAAATTGAAGTATCCATGACTTTATGTGGGACTTTTACATGTAAATTAACATGTATTACCTTCAAGCTATTGCTAAACGAGTTCACACAATAACGAATGATTCATCCTACTGCCGCCGGGATAAGCTCTCTGTTTCTCGTAGTACACTGGAGTTGTGGTGTTTGTGGTGACTTTCCTTCGCTGGTGAGCGCGCCACATCTCCCCTGCAATTTATTTTACTTTTGTTCTTTTTAATCTGGAGCATCCACTCCGAAAACAATTCCAATAGGCCTTATCTATAAATTGTGTAAAGAGCGAATTGGTGCGTACATGAACGTTCTTACTGCCATTTCCAACTCACCTTATCTTGAAAATGTAAACAAGCCATTTTGAAGGGATACACGATTGATAAACCGCAACTTTGTCCTAAACACAGATTTTTTAAAACATACACACGTTAAATACTTTATAAATGAGACCAAATAATGCATTTAGGCGGCGTTAACAGGCTCTCGTTTTTTTCCTCTCATCAGTAAAACAAATAGAATGCACGCTAGCCTTTCCTACTAGACTCAATGTCATAAATAGGCTACAATTATCAGAACAACACAACATTGACTAAACTTTATAAATTGCCAAAATATGCAGATAAAATCATTTCAAGTGCAAAATATGTATTATTTGTAAGAGTTGTTGCTCACATGAGGCTCAATGAATTTCTCTTGCAACAGGTTTAATCTGTGAAGCCACAGCTTGATATTACTTGTGCTTCTATAGAACTCGGCTGGCTTCCTAAACCAGCATTAGCTGATATACAGTATCTCTTCATTGCAATCCAAACAATGAATTAATTTATTCAGAGGCAACTCAACGACTGCAGCTTGTCGCTCGAGCGTCATTTGCACGGCACTTATACGTTACTCCATGGCTCTGCAAGCCTTGTGGCACTTGTGTCAGGGGGAAGGTGGAGTGTTGAAGCACTTATGCACAGCGACGGCTTCTCCTCTTCATCTACTGTAGCTTGAATTGTGCCTCATTTGTTCGTCGCTTTTGAGAAAAGCTTTTTTACTTAACACAAAGACGTCAGCCTCGTGCGTGTGATTCTTGTTTTTTTTACACTGCTTTGATCATTTCATGAGCTGTGAGCAATACACTCATCGCGTCACACTGAAAACAATGAAGAAATACTTCACCAAATGCAAAAGTACGTTTTTTTCATGTGTTTTTGTGGTCAGCAAACAAACACTGTAACATTAACACAGACTGCGACTTCACAGAAGACACTTGTTAGGTTAAATTCACTGTTGGTTTTAGTCTTTTCTTGGGAAATGGTGATGATAAAGAGATGCAATGATGCCAGTAGTGTCCCCCAAGTGCTCATTTGATTACAGTAAAGTCTACGCAGTCAAACACTCATAGTGTGTCTTGAGTGTTAATGTCTGAGCCACAGAGATGAACGGCCGGCTTTCTAAAAAAAGCTCCAGGCAGCCTGTATTCACTTCACAGCCCAGTGAGTGATGGATGACTGAAGGTGATTTACAGGTCAGCTTGAGCAACTCATTTAATTAGCCTAGCCTTCTCTCCGTGTGTCTCCCTGCGGTATCCAGATGGACCCCGTGCAGAAAGCCGTCCTCCATCACACACTCAGCCTCCCTCCCACCGCAAAGAGGAGGCACGTCTCCTGCAGCGTTTACCAGCAGAGGTTCAACTCACAGGTGAGCAACTTCTTCTTCTGAAGAGGAGTGAAAGTTCAAAAGTCACGAGTGAAATAAACAGGAAACAACCCCCTGACCACATTACAAACTATAAAGGATTTTGCTTCCCCTGCTCTGGTGTCAGCCGCGTTGTCCTTCACATAGTTATTGTTCTGTTAGGGCAGGTCATATGTTGTTAAAAAGTTAAAAAAATACATTTAGAATTACGTTTAAATGATGTAGATCATCTACCACCAGAGCTCCAGTCGTTACTGAGCACTCAGCGTGTTGTCTGGTGTATTTACTCAGTCGTCAGTTGTTGGAGTCCAGTCTTTGTGGGTTTCAGCTCATCTTGAGTTGTGTCCATCCAGCAATGGGGCATTTAAATTTAAACAGCGTTACCATTCGAATAACCTTGTGGTCTGACCTATACATTTTTAAATGAGGTTAGCTGAACTGTAGTATTGAAACTGATTTGTAGGCAGCAGCAACCATCTTACCAAGTAGTGAATGACTAAAACATGATACCAGTTTGACCCTCTGCTAAGTCCCGCTCATCTAACGCAGACTAGCCAATCGTCTTGAGGCATCGGCCAGCTCAGACCATAGACTGTGACTGCAACACTTTTGTTACAGACAACTATCATCAACATGCTATGTTGTTATTATAGAAATAATGCACATATTATACGATAAAATAAGATAATGAGTTACGCAAATTAACGCAGTGTGACATACTGTATATGAATAATAAGCAAATAAACTTTGATATAGAGGTTCGTGATAATTGGCAACAGATTTGTTCTGTCGCTGAAAGGGGACAGAAAATAGTTGAGTCACTGGAAGATTCCAAATAGAGTCCATATATTCAGTCTTCTGTAGGTGTTGAGAGTGACTCGCACGAAAGGTTGATAGAAAGGTTTTGCTTCGTGCGATGCACCGAGAGATGTGAGGAAAAAAAATCACAATGTCTGAGTTTGTGTCACGATACAGAAGGTGAAGGAAAAGCAGCAGTACTTACTCATCATTACAAGCATCTTTGAACATCTTTCACAGACATTCGGTGGTATAAGAAAAATCTCTTCAACCGTCTTTATTAAAGATGTATAAATGGTTCTTTGTTGTGAAGTTTTTATCATATCCCAAGAGCCATGACAATAGGGAGATGTTTTCATTTGAGACTGAAGCTGCTGATGTGGGAGTTTTATCTGTATTCTGATTAATTTCTCATGTTTGGGCTCTTACTCACCCCTTCTCTTTCTTTAAACACTATCACGTAGGTGTGTTAGAGAGAATTAATCATTTAACCGGGTTATCGTAGCAGCTGGGCGGCTTGTTATGCACTTCAACCACAGCACCCCTGCATAAAAGACACAAAACTCGTCGGTTCACAGTTAATGATCGGTTAACGAGTGACGGCTATCTGTCAGAAAATTTAAAAAATCTAAATTTTTCGCTACATATGTACTCGACTTGTCAGTGCCCTCTGGTGGACAAACTATGTAACAGTGTTGAATTACCTCAAGCATATCTTTGACATTTCAGATATCTAGCGTGCTGCAGAGAATGAGTCCTAAAACACAGAAATTAGTTTTTTGAATGGGTTTTTTGCTCGTGGTTTACACAAGTTTAAGAGATTTTAACGTTTTGATCTATGATATTAAATACATCAGTAAATACCGCTTTTGGACATTTTGAAGCCTTTTCGTGTCTTAAAAAAAACGGTTGCAAACCAGTGGCTAAATGAGACTAATGAGTGTCATCGCTGGAACACTAGTCCGCCAGTGAGATGCTAACTTCCTGGTTGGCCTATTAAAACACATCATCGCTGCAGAACTCAATTGGCGTGGACCTTAAAACTGGTGTTAGGTTCCTGCAATCAATTCCCGAGTTTCTCAAACTGTTCTTGGTAGCTTCAAGTGGTTACACCCAACCGTGGTTGTACTGGTGTGTTAAATGACCAATTGCACACAAAACAAAAGACTTTATCATGTCAATGGAACACATCAGTGAGCTGCTTGTAGAAAACCCACTCACAGTGAAATGAATGCACCATTAGCGTTCTAACGATAAAACAACAGAAGGGATGGAGTCGAGTACAAACGCTTTGTTCTGAGCTGTTGAACAGTTTAATGTCTAAAAAGGGTGCTTTTATTGTGAAAGCATCTTCCTCTTCTTACTGCATTGCATTTATCCTAACTTAGGCTCACGATTAGCTCATGATAGCACGATAATGGATGTCTGGTCTTTATCTTTGCTTTCAATATAAGGCCTCATGTGAGCAAAATAGATTCCAGGAAGGAGATCTTGTTACAAAGTATGTTTAGTCATTAGCTCATACGTGCACTCTGCGATACAGTAATAAAATGCATTGCACTAATACAAGCTTGCTGAATCATACCGATGGACCAGCAGATGGGTTTCGATTCCCCTCGCGCTCAATTTCCATACCATTTCAAAAGTAATCAAAATATTTGAAAAGAAAATCACTGGCGCTGCTGCATGTTGTTAAATCAGTAGCATCCCTAAATAGTAATGTCATCGCTCTTTCATTAAAGGAGTAATCAATCCATTTCCCACACTGACTGTGTCGGTGATTACTCAGGATGAGGTTATTATGTTTTACATGCGGAAATCTATCTCAGTGTATATTTAGTGTTCATCAGCTGTTTATTTTAAGGCTTCATTAGGGAGACCGACTCTGTGTTTACCTGTCAATCAACAGGTAGTGTTGTGTTGAGCTGGGAGGTCTCATATACCCTCAGGGTGTGTGCTTTTATTCCTCTCTTTGTTTTGAAACCACAGCTACAGCACAGAAGAGTATCTCAATTTTCTCCAGTGGCAGTTTATCATAAAGTGGACCGAGAGATGATGGCGAGCAGGAAGCCCGTGGTGTTCTGCTAAATCCGAGCGGCTCTGTTGGGAAAGTCTGTATGTAAACCAGTCAATGACCTGAAGATCATGAAGAGAAAAGAGCTGCTCACTTCCAACAGATTCACTCAGTTTCTGCTTTACCAGATACAGTCATGTTTATGAGACGAGATCGTAAACTGTAAACTCAAGTCTGTAATTTGTTGACAGCGAGTGAGTCACCAGACTGATCTACTCCCTTAACAGGGAACGCTGGATAACCTGTTTACATTTGATGCATTTACAGCACTTCCGTTAGCTCTTTACCTGCAGTTTTTACAAGCTGTTAATCGAAAAGGGATTTTCCTTTTATACATGATATTGAAACAAATATGAAGAAATGTACATATCACCGCTTTTTAGTCTTTTTAGAGCATTTAAGGAACTCAGAAACAGCCCCTATCTACTGAGGAACCAAAGTTCAACTCTTCCATATTTCAAGGACTGCAAAAGCTGTACTTCCAGCAAGCAGTACAGTTCAATTCGTTACACATTAGAATGGTTATTTTTGTGTTTATCAAAAGTTGTGGATAGTACCTGCTACTTTTTTTTTAGTACCACCTCGGTCGAGGTTCCAAGCGAGCTGAGCCGATACTGGAAGGTGGAGTTAAAACACTGCTTAATTTGATAGCTTAAACGACTGAGAGAACAACTTTTCTTTACCTCCTCAGGTCAGTTTTCATTGTTCTCTCCTTTCAACAAAGTGATCTGTCACCCACTGAACACGCCCCCAACATCGGGTTAAAAGCTCCACCCATATTTAACATATATTTAACCACCTGGTGGTAGAGGCTTTGTCATTTGGCTCCTGGCTTGATGGTGGAGTTGAACAATGGCAGTCAATTTGTTGTGGGTGGCATCATTATTGTCAGTTTGTCCACACACATCAGGATCAGCGAAGCAGACTACCAGATCACCGATGATCTTTTCCCGGCCATACACCTCCTGATGTTTATCGGTGCCATGACTCTGGTTTTTGGCTTCCTGGGCTGCTGTGGAGCCGCCAAGGAGAACCGCTGCCTGCTGGTCCTGTTCTTCAAGGGCCTGCTCGGAATGTTCCTCATGCTGCTGGTCGGGGTGGCGCTGGGAGCCGTTTCAACAACTGCAGCAGCCCAGGAGCTGGTGAGGAACCGCGTGAAGCAGCTGCTCCTGGATCGAATTTGCATCTGGAATCCTTATGATTCTGGGCATGGTTTTATCAATGGTCCTGATCTGCCAGCTTCGTAATGGGAGGAAGAGCATAATTTAAAATGTTTAGCACAAGGCCTGAGGTTCACAGGTCTTGAATAAAGGACAGATCACCATGTTGGTGTTAAATGCATCTGGCTGTAAACTCTTTTTACATGTTTTAAATGTTTGATTTCAACTATGAATTGCATATTAAACAATTTTTTTACAATGAAAAAGCTCAGTCTGTTGTATAACAGAAGCTGATAATTGTGAGTCCAAAGAATAAATAAAAATATCTGGAGCAGAACTTTGTTGGGCCCTCAACAGATCTTTTTTATTGTTTTTAGGCAAAAAACGTTACTGTTTCACACTACCTACAAGTTACAAGTACAGTTTTAATACTGAAAACAACTTCAGTTCAGTTGTATAAATCTGGCTATCCAGCAAAAGTCACCACAATCAGAAAAATCGCTAATGAATTCGGGCCCTTGTCTGCTCAGAGTTGAATTCTTTTCAACTCAAGTTGTTCATGTTGCTCCTGCATGTAGCAGACCATGCTGCTAAATGATGAATGAGTGATGCTTCTGTCTGATCAGGGCCTTAATCATCTTGTGACCCCTCATATTTGTTCCATGCTGGCTGGATTCAAACTGACTGGGGTTTGCATTCACATCCCAGCATTTGTACACACCAATGGAGGCCGGATTTGGACTTTATTGAGGGAAAATATAAATATATTCAGTTGGTTGCATCCCAGTGCTAGAGGGAAACATATTTAAAGAATGTGTTTATTTCCATTTGGTTCGCAGCACATTTGACTCACACAATGAATCAGGTTGTCCTCCATGATACCTGCTCTACCTTCCCCCACAGACACTGAGGCAATGTGCACTGGTTCTTTGTTTGTTTGTGATTGGGGACAGTATGCTGGGGTCTTCAGTCATCCACAAGGAATGTGGGTGGGGGAGTTTTTGAGATGTTGTGGTAACAACCAGGAGGACCATCAAGAGGAAAGCCATCCTAAAATCTGCATCACTAAGGTTTCATTTACATTTACAGCTGCTGTTAAAAACACTGTCCTTACATAATACAACTGGCTGCAAGCCTTCGCTTGGGAATGTAGGTCGTAAAGATTTATGACCAACTAAAAATGATGCATGAACTCCACAAATAAAAGTGGGAGACAACTCCAACTTCATGAATTAATAACAAAATGGAGTAAACTGTGCCACAAATATAAATGATTTAAGATGGTTTACCTTCCATTACATCAATGTTGGGCTTTGGAGATTCTTTTATTTGAACATTAAATGAATGAGTATTTTGTTGGCTGCATAATGAGCAGCAGGAGTCAATGGCAACTGAAAACACACACAGCTGTAACATTTGTAAACTTTCCTACGCTTTGAGCTTTCCTCCTGTTCTGAAAAAACGTTCTGTTGTTTATGGAATATATTGATCGCGGTCTTGTTTGAATCATGTTGAGTTCATTTAATTACGAAACCAGAACATGTTCTAGAACAACCATCCCCCCTGTCTTGATACCTCAAATATCCCCTTTTTTCCAGCAAACCAATGACCAGTTTGATGTTGTAACTAAATTGTCAAACGAGGGGTTTGTTTTGCTCAGATTTCTGTACAAAGCTCAAATTCATTTAACCAACATTTCAAGTTGCTTAGTCAGAACCTTGGATGATTTGCAGTGACTCACAGACTATTCACAGTATTTAAGGTAGCTTCACTTGAATCTTTTGTTTTGAAAACCATATCCAGATGAAAATAGAATTACTTCAAGACAACCACCTTTTTCAAACATGCAGATGATGAACCTATAAACTACACTGTTGCAATGATCTGATAATTGAGCCACTGGGATGTAAAAGCAAGCATTTGAAGCTTCCCTCCTCATTTCCGGTGAATCTTTTCACACGCCCTTTTGACTCGGAGGGAAATATCTGTCTCTTTAGCCATTAAATGCTCCGTTATGTTCACCAGCTAGTTGCTAATTGTCAGATATTTGGGGCTGAGCAGGTAGTGCACTGTGAGACCCTTTTAATTTTTCAAACAATGATTGCATACGTAAGTGTGCGCACACAGTTTTGCAAGTGCAATAGCTTGTCCAGCTATGCTAGAGCATTATCGACCAAAGATCGCCAATGCAATTTAAACAAATGGACTTTCCATCTGTGTGCTAAAAAAGGGTATTTTAGAGCATTTTCACTGGAAACATGAAAAGAAAAGTTGATGTAAAAATGAAACAAACAATCAAAGTTCAAGTTCCTTGGTTATTGTCCTATTCATTGTCACTCAAAAACTCAAATATTACTAAAAACTGAGCTCACAGGAGCACAACTATATACGCATAAATCTCTCATGTAAAATGACAAAAAATATTTGGCAGAAAATGTTGTGTTACAGCAAAAAAATCAATAGCATTGTACGTTTCTGCAAACCACGGATAAATTGAATTTGGACATTATTTAATTAGGTCAGAGCAAGTGTTGCTGTATATCTAAAGACCCGCGTGTTCATCTGTGTGAAAGCAAAAGTAAACGTTGACTTTGCAATTGTAACCTAAACAGTGTTATGCTGCATTACGTTGCGTTGTTGCGCTATGCTGTTGCGTAATGTTTTTGTGTTAAATTATAACCAAGTACCTTTTGTTGCCTTAATCAAGCCAATCGTTTAACAACGTGTCATTGTTTGTTTCTGCAAAGGTATTCATGAAACATATTTATAATGTATTTTTGGTTCATAAACATTGACATTCAGTGGTTTGCGTTCAACAACCTTCAATGCCTACATTTGTTCTGGCGGCTGGGTTGGTTCAGGTCGGACCACATCATATTTAGCAGATATGTTAACGGAGGACTAAGCTGCATCTACATTTTAGCAGACACTCTCATTCAGGTTTACATACATTGTCAAAACGGGTAATCTTGCTTATGGCCACACGTCTGTTGATGGACACATGGTGATTTAAACTGTGACCTTTTGGTTTCCAGACAGCTTCGATAAATCCTAAAAAGAAAAACCAGACTATGATTTGTTTAATGTCTTTTCCACCTCACAGAGCACCTGCAAGGAAAACAAATGGTATCCCTCTCAGTGTTAATCATATGTCTGTCAAACTTGGAATTCAAGCAATTCTTCCACTTCATTTCTCAAATGAAAGATGAATTATTGGTGTAGTCGCATTAAACACACATCCATACCACCTGAGTCTCCTGACAAACAAAATAAGTTATGTCTTTGGTACCTGGACAGTGATGAATGTGAGTCAAAATGAATAGTTTCATGCCAGAACAAGATGTGCACTCAGTTTGAAAAAATGACACCTTCTCCAAAAATGGTTTCTAGGATGAAGGGAAAATGTTTAAGGTACCTCAGCAATTTCAAAACCTTTGCCGACAAAATGACTGAGCTACAGCAACTTTATTCCCTTCGTATAATGAAACCTCCTTACTTGTCTCCTTATTTTAAGCTGTCACATACACAATCAAGAAAGTTGACAATAAATATTCTAATTAAATAACATCTTATTTTCTTACAATTAAAGTAATAACTGCTAGAACCAGTGGTGGAATGTAACTAGGTCATTTACTCAAGTCTTGTAGCCTTTTATATACAACATACATGATATGATTATATGATATGATGCAGTAATAATCTACACAGTAGTATGCAATGACTCTAAACTTGACTCCATATTGCTACAAGATTACAATCATTTGTTAGTGATAAAAGCAGAATATAATATTCTGCAGAGCGGCTAGTTCACGACTGCCACTCTGCACTGCGCTCATACGTCGGTAATAGCTGATAACGCCGTCCCAATCCAAGCGATGCCACGAAAGCGTAGCACCCAAACTCCAGTTCCCCCTCAGGTAAACACTGTTAGCTCTGTTGGCACCGTTGTGGTTTGCACTGTTAACGCTGTTTGCACCGCTAGCTGCAAGCTGCCGGGTCAGCCGTCGCCATGTTGAGAGCTGTGTGCAGACCTTTGAGTATCTCAGAGTCTCAGTACTTCTAAAACAAGCTGACGAAGAACAAAAAGGAAACAAGACTAGTGTTTTGCTTACATGGTGAAGTACCTGGAATGGTCTCTTTGTCCCAGCAGTCTTTAGTGAATATCCCCACTGAGGCCCATCAATAAAGATGCTAACAGATGCCTTTTGGGAATACATGGTTGGCATACTTATTTATTCCAAAAGGCAATTGCATCTCTCCTGATACCTTCCTTCCTGCCACAGGCAAAGTATGCGGGGATGGTGTGCAGAAGTAAACAAGGACAGCTCAAAGTCTTTGCATATGTCCCACCTCTGTGTGCCTCGTGAATGTTTTGTGAAGGTGAATCTTAGCGGCACTACGTGTTCGGACTTTAAAGCAAACAGCCACTCCAAAAAATGATACATGGGTCACACAAATTTCTCAATCATTGACATGCAGATGGTAATAAATAATTTGTTTCATATTCACTCTGAATTGTCTTTTTTTATCACCTCTTTATAGTTTGTAGCCAGACACATTTTAAATCTCAATAGCTATGTTGGAGCTGGAAACGAGGAACAATGACTGATGTCAGAGACAGATTTAGCAAAAAGACATCAAGGCATTCTACAGAAGTTCATTTTCATATAACAATTCATTATTTTTGATAAACAATGCTGCATTTACGAATATATAGCCTTTCCAGTACACAAAAACACCCCATGAAATCATTACCCCAATACATCCAAAAAGTAAAGCACTTAGAAAACCAATTACATGGCTGTGTCAATCGTTTTGTAAGATAAAACATGTTTTTTTTTCAAATGTTTACCCTTTTTACAGGACTGCAAGACGTATCAACTGTCCCCTGCTAATTATGTTTCATGTGCTTCATTGCCTCTGACTGTGGTCCTCTAGTTTTCACATTGCATTTCGTCCTGGCTCTGTGTTTTGCTGCTTCCCCAGCGATATATTGAGCCTGCTATCCCTTCTCCTCACAGAACCAGGCCTTGGCCCATTACAAGGGCACCAAACATGCCAAGAAGCTAAAAGCCCTGGATGCTCTGAAGAGTAAGCTCAAAGGCTCAGCGGTCACCAAGGAAACCTACAACCAGAAGACCACCAAGGGCATCTACACCGCGCAGGTCCCCAACGGCACCGTCAGGAAAGGTTTGTGTTTTCCTGCTAGCTGCACATTCCCCGACACATGTTCTTTGTTGTTTTCGTTTTGTAGCTGCTGCCCTTCTGTTGAGAGTGAATGTTGGACCCAAAAAAAACTCACTTTTTCTGGCAATTTACATCCAAGTACTTTCGGTGTTGGATGGTCTCGCTGTTGATTATATCAAGCATGTGTTGGCTGCTCTGCCAGCGGCTGGCTACTGACTCATACTGTATATTGAATTTTTAGAGTTCAGAGATCAATCAACAAAATGAGGTAGGGCCTAAGTATGCTTCAAACTAGATGCCGGTCAGACCATCTAATGTCACGCTCAGACAGACAACAGCACCATATGAAAAACGTGGCTCCTTTATTCATTGGAATGAGAACACATTATCGAGGGAGCGGCGAAATAAAGGGCTGTTTTCAGTCACTAAAGTGTCTTGTACCCCATTCTCTGACAGCAGAATTAAGGCAGGTTTAACTTTAATAACAACGTATCCTCATACTACAGTTTGTATAATATCGGACGAAAAATTTGACTCCTAATTTTTGGTGCGTTTTCCTGAGAAAAAGCAGCAATACATCAATTTCCGCTTGTTTCAGCATACAATCTTCAGAAAATAAATGTAGTTAGGTTCAGGCAACAACACTACAAAAGAATGTGGTTTGGGTTAAAATGACGACAGAAGTTCTGTGACTTAAATGGTGACAAATAAATCAATATAAAGGGCACGAACAACGTGCGGAAACACCGTTTTTTGCTTGACCCATCCACCTCCCCTCCCGCCTGCCCTGTGTGGGTTTTTGCGGTCTTTTTATTTCCTGGTTTATGATTTTGTGGATTACATACAAATTAATTTTGTGGGTTATCTACAAATTACAGTGCAATCCTCTCCGTGAGTATAGATACGACCTCTGTACAACAACAGCCTGAGTATGTGAGTATTTGTGTTCATCAAGGCCGTCATATGATAACGCTGAGGAAGGCCACAATCTGAAACGCGTTGGTCTCACAAATTAACTTGTTCTTTATCCTAAAAGACAATGTTGCTGGTGGGTTTTTTTTTTACCTCTCAAGCTCTCTTTTCTTCATTCTTCGAACAACTACTTTTGTCACATTTTCTTTGTTTGTAAAACCAAGTGCAACACCATGAATGCCTTTGAGGGGAGAATGTCTGTAACGGTGTGCCATTATCACCGTGTGTTGAATTCATTGCGGTGACACGGCAAAGACACACAAGAGCAACAGAGTTCTTGGAGAGGGAGGCTATACTGGCAGGCTTTTCATCATGCCTTTAAAGGGACAGTTTACCCCCTTCCTCATACCTGTAGTGCTATTTATAAATCTAGATTGTTAGCCGTAGAGATGTTTGCCTTCTCCCGAATATACGACTATTTTCTTTCAACCGTAGCTCCTATATGAAACTGCTAACAGCGAGGTCTGTAGATTTTCTTGAATAGCTGGGTCATGATTTCTGTAAAGTGATGTTGCTTTTGTGTTCTTCAACTCTTTTTTGGCACTTTTAAGGCATCACAAGCAGAGTTACATATTGTCCCATTATATTGGAGAGAAGTCAGACATCTCTACGACCTTTATCTCTAAAACTAGGCAGTTCAAACCAAAACAAGATAGATAAATAGCACTGCAGGTAAGAGGAAAATTACATATTTTTGATATTGGGGTGAACTGTCCTCCATTTGGCCATTCAGATCAGGTAAGCTTCAGCTGCACACTGAATTCTTCAATATGCTGCTGTTTTCCGAAAACGTTGCAACCTCCTACATTTGATTTGTATTTTTCGTTTGCCTGTTATCCCACTTTTAATTACATTTTTGCTGGTGCACATTGTTTAGTGCTGACTGTGTGCAACTTAATATTCATCACGTCGCAGCCAGGTGGCTGTGTAAATCCGGTTATCTCGGCCAGGTGTCTGCCGAAAAACATTCCTGTTCTCGGTGGAACTCCCTGCTTTAAAACATGTTGGAAAAGTAAACAAACACGAACCACAACTTCCAGCACCTGACGGGATACCAGATGCAGATTATTTTAAGTAATTTTATCTGCTGTGTTTCGTCTTGGTTGTGTGGAGGATAACGTCTTTGGCTGCTGAGGAGCTCCGCTCTCTAGGTCTCCTCCGATGTAATATTCCTTAAGCCGCCTATTATTATGTCATGAAATTGGCCCAGTGAAAGTCTTCCCCTTTAACTGTAGCAATAGACGTTTTTCTAGAGGAATTGGAAACACATTGAGCCGTCTCGCTCTGGGATTAATTTTTACTTCTGCCCATGCACTTCTTCCAATTTTCCACAAGTATTTCAACCAGGTGCACATTTCTGGAGCTCATCGTGTACCGTGACCTATTTGTCAAGTCTAACCTATTCATGTCGAAGCTTAAAGGTCGCTTGAGGTGAAAATTGAACCATTAAACAGTTAAGATGCCCTACCTGGCATTCATATCACGCCTCAGGGGGGATGTTCAGACGATTTTGCCTCACAAATGCTACAAATGCTAATAATGTTCCTCTGTTGAGTTCAAAAGTAGGTGAGAAAACAGTATTGCCAAGTGCTTAATTCTCCATGTTGAACCTCACACATGCTAATCGTCATGTAATTTTCAGAGCTTCACACCTGGCAGCATACTGCCTCGCATCCCACAGACTTACTGAGCTGCTATACAAACGTCAAACCGTTAAGTGGAGCAATTTGCACTTAATCAACCCTTGAGCTGATCCACGCTGCAGTTTGTCGACATTTACCGTAATTTTTTTAAATTATTTGAATATATACATCATATCGCCTTGACGAAAGACGCTGATAGAGAATATTATATGTGATACTGCTACTTAACAGGAAAATAAAGTTTTAAACTTGCATCCATATTGGGTGAACACTGGCACTCCCTCTATGAGTGCTCAACATTGAAGATGGGATTCAGACCGCCTCTCACTGTACCTGCACCATCTGTTATGGACTCTACACAGAACGGACATTAAACATTCACTGACAAAACATACCAAATACATTATACATACATTATACAGAGGCAGAGAACTCAAGAGACCTTAAACAACAAGCCTTCATAACTAAACAGACAAATGGCTATTCATTTCAGTGCCCTTACAAAGAAAAACCCCCTGCATCATCTCACTATCGTATCTACAGTGCACGGGGGCGGCGGTTTGTCACAAGTGGCTCTGGGTAATGAATATTAATGTGCTCGGATGTCAGAAGAATGAATAGTCGAGGTGGGTAAATGCCGCATTATCTGTATGGCCGAAGTATTTGACGGTTTATCAGTGGCACCGAGCTCGCTCTAATGAAAAGCAGAATTCAGGGCAGAATAATGGCCGTCGTGAGAGTAAACAACAGGGAGGGAGAGCTCTGTTTGCTTTTTGCAGAGTGGTCTTTCAATGGGTTTGTTTTGCTCGAAAATTACCAACAAAAAACATATCCGGTCTGTAATAATTTTATTCCAAAGCACAACATATCCATGCCCGGAACAATGTAAGGTTTGTTTATTTTTTTGTTTCTGATTGTTTCCTGTGTCATTCAAGAGCTGTTTTTTAACAAGAGGATTGATTACATCCGAAATAGTGAGTCATTCTTTCTTTTATTTGTGGCAGCTGTTATTTTGTAAGAAAACACTGTAAAACATCTAAAGCTGGTTCAATTAATTTCAAACTATTTAAACTGCTTAAAATTTGATTCAAGTGAACTAATTCATCGAAAGCCATCCTAGAGTTTTGAAAAATGTGAGATTGACTCGGTTAAGTTCAGATAACTGAAGATATTAAGTTGAATCAACAACTGTGGAGTTCCCCTCTTCTTTAATGAGTAGAGTGAACTCTCAGCAGTATGTTCATTCAACACATCATCTCAAGTCAGTTCTGAAATGGTCTGAAAACAAACTAAAAATGAAGATGGTGATTGAACTTGGAATTTATAAAAACAACATAAATTAAATATATACAATAAGGTAAAGCTTTGTTGATTCCTTTATGATATTTTACGGTTGATATAATATGTTCCGTTTTCAGTACATCATCACAAGAAAGTCTGAGTAACAACAGAAGCAAGCGAAAGACAAACTGCTTGGTTGAAATGTTGAGACACAACTTCTTAAGCAACGTAATGGAAGAAATTGTTTGTGGAATGAAACTACATTTAGTCCATCTGCTCGGGGCGGTTTAAGTTGATGTGCGAAGAACACATTTAGTGCATCGCTGAGGGATAATGAGTCTGTGTGAAAGCGTTTAATCACAGGTTCGATTTCATAAAATGCACACCTGTCTTCGAACTTGTCTCTGTTCTGAGATGGACCGACAGTTGGACACAGCGAGATAGTATAGATTAGCAGGGTGACTCAGCCGGCCGTCTGTCAAGTTTCTGTGTGTGTGTGTGTGTGTGTGTGTGTGTCCTTGCGAGTAGAGATAGAGCAAGAAAGGCAAAGAGGGCGAGAGAGAGAAATGCCCACAGCACAGCCCGCCATCTCTCAGTTCCAGTCCAGTGCCTGAGGAAATGTACCCTGATATTAGCTATTAAAGAGCAGATTGTCAGGGGAGCCATGCCAGCACTGACAGCAGCTGTACAACGGAGCCGGCTGCAGGGAGGCAGGAGGCTAGCTAAGGCTGCTTCCCCTCCACAGCCTTCTTCCTCACGTCCCCCATCGGCTGCTGCGCCCTCCGTCCGCCCTCCCCCCTCCCTCCTCCACCCAGGAGAAAAAAAAAAAAAACTGCCTTTGTGACCAAGTCTTTCGTAGGTGCGCGCTGGGTTGGAAAAAGCGCTTACAGACAGACGTCAGAGACGGCAGCAAACCCGATGAGTGTGTGATTAGATTGGCTCCGTACCTGCGCGCGGCGCTGCAAATGTTCTCATTTGTGGGGGATGTTGGACGCCAATGTGCAACCGTAAAAAACTTCCCAACAGAACTTAGCCGCGGATCATTTGCTTTCAGATGAAATTGGAAAGAGATAAATCAGTGTGAATTCAATTCAGTGACTCCTGCCG